TTTCTATCCCTCTCTCATTATATAGTACTTCTGTAAGTGGCTGTAGTGTATCTCAAAAAGCAAGTTTATTGACCTCCACCTGCAACAACAGTGCTTTAAAAAGGCTTGATGTGGAACAAAGTATGCAAAATTGATCCCTTAAGCATTTGCGAGCAATGTGATTTGAAGCCTCATCCTTGTTCAGAGGTGGGTTCAGGATCTCTGAAAAAATCCTGGCAAGAGACATAGAAAAGACTTTTTGAATTGTCTTTGCAATTCATGGCTTATATATTAACTGCACGTAAGGGTGGTGCTTGGCAGCAAAGAGAGAAGTTAAGAGAAGTAAATGTACTTTTTTCCAGTGAGTCCCCCTTAGTTTTCTAAAGTATTTGAGATTTGGAAGAACCCCACCGAACTATAAGTCCCACTTCAGTGTAGTTACAGCACTATTTTACAGAATTTTAGGCGTTTTTTTTTTTTTTTTTTACAAAGAGTATGCAGATCTTGGTTGCCACCAATAGGAGTTTGAAACACTCTCCCTGACTTCCACTAACTCTATAGGCACTGACCCCAAAGTTATGTATGATGACATAATCTAAAGCAAAATGTGGCTCTGCAGTAAAACTTTCCATTCCCAAAGTCAACAACCAGTCCTTTGTCCAGTGGCCCTTGAGGTAATGGCAAATAAAGACAATCACTTCTAATAGTGTCTGTTATGTTCAGCCTTATGATCCCCATGGTCTGATGTTCAAGGGTGAAGCCTCATTAATACATACGTTTAGTGTGTAATATAGAAAAGTGTTCTTTATGTTAAAGACAGAGTCTATCCACCTTTCAGATGGACCAGTAGCTGTTATTGGGAAATGATGACATAATAAGTACAAATTTGCTCCCACTTCCAGCCTAGCAGAGCTATCAAACACACAGCCAGTGCAATGGCGGGGCTGTAGCAGTCGAACCTCTGCAGCCGGGTCGCTGGATCCACCACAGGCTATTCTAATCTGAAATGATCAACCTCAAACAAATCAAGATTTACTGATTCCATATTTGTGTAATTCCACTAAATTAATGACAGGGTGATATGAAGAGACCAGAATCAAACAAAAGGATGTCAATCAGAAAGTAAAAAATTGCCTTTCAAGTTTCTCCAGTTGAGATTTCAACACTAAGAGGATGTACCCATGCTTCCAGAAGCCACTTATACCACGTGGAGTCAGCTGAATTCAGGTGCAGATAAAAAAAAATACACACACAGAGCTACACACACACAAATATATATCTCATTTACATATATTGCTTCAGATATTTTTGGCAGTCTTTCATATTCCCAAACTCACTGCAGATTGGGTTCCGTTTCTAAGTTTGCCAGCTTCAAATACTGCATTTTAATTCTACTTAATGAATTAGGTATGCTTTAGAGCTATAATAAACTTTTCTTGTGAAGATATTTCTGAAGCATTGTGTCACATTTCTTACTGAGAATAAATACCTCAATAATATATTTATATAAATAATTTAAAATGCAAGAGCACAGTAGGTAATAAAAAATATATTGCCATGATAAACCATGAAACCAGGGAAGAACGTTGCTTTAATTAAAAATTACAAATACACTGCAGTAAACAACTTATTTACACACAGTTAAAAGTCTAACTATTGAATATCCTGGACTTGTTGAATCCAAAAAGGGGAAAAATACTGAAACCAATCTCTTCACACAGACAAACATTGAGGACCGTAACTGTGTTTAATTAAGATCTACTGTTAATAATGGATTTCAGAGAGTGAGCTGCTTCTTTTAATTTCCCAAGGTAGAAAATGTTATTAAATTTGGCCTTTAACTTCTCATTGACATGTACACTTGAAACTTCTGATTAAAATTTCAGAGGTTGGGAAGAAGCACCCAAAATTAAACTCTTAAATCTGGCACAAAAATAACAATGATCCCTGATTAAGAAATCAAATTTCAGAAACTTCATTACTGTTCTATTAATAAATTGTTGGGTTATAATTAAAATGGGGCCAGCTGGATTTCTTTCATTTTTTAATTCTAAAAAAGTTGGAAACCATAAAGGGAATTAAATACTTTAAAGAAAAAATAGGTTAATGAATATAAGAAATGTGATCCAACTCGAACAGGTTCCTTTTCTTTCTGGGAGTGATCAGCAGAACAAGCATTGTTTTCCACCCAACGGTACGTGTTCAAGAAAAAAATGGTTCTGCCTGCTCCTTCCTTTCTACACCATCCACAGTCCAAAACTCACTATGCTCCTTGCAGACTTTTTATAGGAAATCATGGCTCTGGATACAGTTGTGAAAGACAGTGTTAACCTTGTCTTAAACAGGGATAATTTAAAGTAACATGAAATTTGATGCCTAGATTATTTAGCTGGGCTATGAGCATGTGGTTCTCATTTCCAGGATGGTTTTTCTTACCTCTCCCCTGATTTTCTTTGAAATGTTAACCTCAGTAGATCTCAGAAGAGCTGACACAATGAGAGTTCACTGCTAATCATGTGCAGACAAATAGATAGAGCTCAAGGTACGAGTTTTTTGTGTCTTACAAATACTTGGAGTCATATTTTTTTCAGTGTAATACATTTTTGCCAGCTTGTTTGAGCTTTTAAATGAAATTCTGTCTCAGTCTGCAAAAATACTTCAAGCTGAAGAAGAAGAATGAAAATTGCTTCAAAAGTACAGCTGTTTTTAGGAATTTTTACAAAGTAAGCCACGTTTTTCAAAGAGATAAGTAATTTGAATCTGATTCAGATATGCAATGTTCAAAGAATAAATTCAATCTAGATGTGGACAATGGTACAAATGGTTTCTATATACTATTCATGGTTCTTGAAATGCATTTATGATGTTATATCTAGTAGAGTAACTAAATTTCCTGATTACAAATAATCAGCAAGTTTTGTAAAGAAAAAAATCTGAAAAAAAAACCCTACAAGTTTTATATAGAAAACTAACTAAAAATATCCCTGCAGTTAGACATATCTCAGCTGTTACAGGTTTAAAGTAAAAAAAAGTAACATTACAAATTCTCTGTTGTGCTTTTGTTTGCCTCTGTCTCCACTTTTGAACAGAAATATCCTTTGTTGGGAGTGATGTACATTGTTCACACAGCACACACAATACAAATCTGGCATTCATTGCTTCTTGCAGACACAAAACATTGCTTGCTTGTGGTCATAAATATTTAGTGCAATATCTCATTTAAAAGTCTGGTTTGTGCTTGCTTGGCCTTTATTTCACCTGTATAATCATACTAAGGACTCTGATGATACAATTTATAGCAGCATAGTCTGAGAACCATGTAGTTTGGTGAGCACTCTATAAAATCCTGGACCTGGGCCCGAGCTCTAAACACACACCTGCCTGTAGCAACTTAAAGAAAACATTTCGCCCGGACCCAAACTAATGAGTAGCTTTGGCCTTTACACATGCAATTTTACACTATCCTTAATTATAGCTGCTGTTCTCATGTACTACAGTCTTCCTTTTTCACTGCTAGTAGCAATGTGCTTCAGTAATACCTCAGTGTTAGCTAAAAGCATCTTTTAAAAATGCTATTTTATGCTTTCCTGTTATTTTTAGCAAAAGGACACACAGGTAGTCAAATTAGCCTTTCCTGAATCATTCCATCACTTTCAGATTTCCAGGATATTTGCATTATTTTTTTCTAACTTACATAGCCACTTCCTTTTACAGGGTTTCCATATATGATCATGCTTCATTCCCAACCAATACAGCTTATTTCTGCTCTTCCGCATGTGCAGAGTAAGAAATGAAAAATCTTGCTTTTGCCTAAAAACCTTCCAGGTTTTGGCCTTGCAGATATGGTAGAACTTCTGTGAAAATTCTATTTAGATTATGAGCTAGTTATAGTCAAGATTTGACAGTTCTTTTACAGCCCATTGCGAGATGTGGTGGACTGCAAAAAGTGTTTATGTTACTTAACTGGTTACGTACAATACTTCAAGCTAACTCAGAGTTTTCAGTGGCTAATTGGTATGCCCCATAATTTCAGTATCAATGTAGTTAGGAGAAACTCAGCAAAATCAGTAGGTCAAGGGGAAAAAAGTCAGAGATTGGTTTCTGGATTGTTGTTTCTGACAACCTAATCCTTGCATTTTCTTGACTTTTCTCTTTTAGCCTCACAAAATGACATGTTACATTAATATGCCTTTTTTTCTCTCCCAAGAAATTACATAAAGTTATGAGGAATTTCAAAATTTATGTTTCTTAAACTCAATCCCAATGGCAACAAATATATTTTCTCTACACAAGCCAGGTTCTGAGTAATGCTGCTGAGGGTCAAATTGCTGTATTTGACAAGCAATAGAAAGTCCATTGGCTTTCAACTGACAGACACAAATCTGTGTGACCACAGTGAAAGAAACAAGAAATCTTTGGAGCAAAAACAAAAATTAAGAATCAAAATGCATTCTGTAAATAAATACACTTGGAACACAAAGGGAATGGCATATCCTAAGAATCATCCTTCAGATAAATTGATATTTCAGTGGCAAAACTCAAAGGCATTTTTGATATTTTGATATTTTCTCAGCCCTTGAATGTGGATGGACATTCATTATTTCACTAAGGGACATTAGAAATGATCATAAAATGACTTAAAACATGCAAAACAGATTATTTCTATACAGTTTTGAATGTTTACAGATTTTCTCTGGCTCTCATGAAAGAAGAGGAATAAACATGCAGGTTAAAAGTTGTTCTAAAACACTCTGCAAAGCTATGTCTGTTGCTTGTGACACTCGACTGTGCTATTGCAGTAACTTCATAGCCTGGAAAACTACTGCCTCCTGTCTAATACAGTTCAGTTTTTTCATCAGACTGAATCCCTCCATTGCAGAAAAAAAAAAAAAAAAAAGCCACTTCTTATTATGTAGAGCTCAAACAACTGTAACTTAATTCTGTAACTGGCAGGCAAATTCTCAGGCACAAAAGACATGCTCACTTTCTGATGGATGAAAATTAGAGGGTACTGCACTCACCTGATAGTCTGATGTTGCAAAGTATCTGGATCAGTGGCATTTACCGTTAACACAACACTGCCAACAGGGATGTTTTCTTGTTTCGTCACTGTCATTGGGTTTGGGTGGAAAACTGGGCCTTCATTCACATCCTCAACAGTGATCTGAACTGTTGCTGTGGAACTGGGGCCGTAGGCTATGTCTGGAATCAGGGGATCTTCATTTTCTACTTTGATCAGCAGTGTGTGAAACGCTGAAATCTCATAGTCCAAAGGCTGTAAAAGGTATCATAAAGTCAGAGTGCAAGTGCAAACACTTTTTCCTTCTAACCAATTGCAAACTTGCAGAAGATAGAACTAGCCAGAAAGGGAGAACAGCGTCCATCGCATCTGACACTTGGTCAGGGTTTAGCATTAGAAACAATAATAGTTATAAAGTGCATCAAAGACAATGAACTTAATTAAAGATGGAGATGTCCCATTATCCAAGAGCATATACTCTTTTGCCGTATCTCATACATATAATTTAATTCTCACATATACATGCTTAGTCATGATGTAATATGCATTTAGCAAATGAACCAGTCATACTTAGTAGCTACTTATCATAAGCAACATAAAGGTATTTTCTCAACTCCTACCTTGAAATCAAAAGCACCACCATGGAAATAGATGTCATTTGTCTTAAGAATTGAAAATGCCTCTTCTGAAGTCAAACAGAAAATTCTGGTACAGTCAGCAACTGGGGCTAGTCTCTTTTTTCTTTTTTAAAGTGTGAGGTATAGGATTATCTTCATACAAAGACAGGAAATAATTTTTTTCATGAGACTTTAGAAATGTGCGACCAAATTCAGTTCTCCAATTCAGTCTGAAGCCTCGTCCCTTACTTCCCTGGTATTTGCATCTGTGTTCTCTAACTGAGGACAAAACATGGCCCTTGAATTCCATTTGTACCCTCAGTCACAAACAAAACTTGGTTGTGAAGTCTCACTATGAATTATGATGCTCAATGCAAACCCAGCTGTTATTTAAGCACAATGACAATATATTTAGCAACAGGCAGGTCCTTATGACTAAAGAAGTGAGGCTACTGTGACAGAAGAAGGGTTTGTAAATATTGTTTGGACAAGAGCTGGAAGCCAACTATATATTATTGAGTAATTTATCCTTGCTGTGCCTTCTCTTATGCAGTAAATCCAGTGGGTGGACCTTGCAGTAATAACACAGTACAACAGCAAATTGTTCTTACCTTGACAACAGAGAGCATTCCCTCGTTAGTCTGGGGATTGGTGTGGATTTCAAAACTCTGCCCTGGATTTCCATTAATAATGGTGTAGACAGCTCTCCATGCTCCGGTTGCTGGGTCATCTCGGTCACCAACGGTTAAGTTTACTATTACACCTGTGACTCCCTCCTTTACTGTGGCTTGAAACTAGAAAAAAAAACAACAAAAACATAGTGGAAATTGTTACCATTTCCAATTAATGACCACACACACACACACATATGAAATATCCAAGCCCGCATTAATTATTTACCACAACAGGAGAAAGATGTAATCCTTGACTGAAACTGAATGTTATAGGCTCTAAATAATGTATTCTCACTCATGAAATATAAGGTAGCACATTACAGCTGCTCTCCATTTAGTAGATGGCAGACAAGCAGCAATGTGATAGGAATCAAGCTTTGGAAGATTCTCATCACACGACGACAGTTCATCTCATGTTACTGGAAAAGTGAATCCTGAAAACGTACACAGTGTAGCACGGGCACACATGCTCTCAGAAAGGAAACTATACTCATTGTTAGCAGAAGAGGAAGCTGACTAATATAGCCCATTCTTGCCTTCGAATGTACTATTATTTACAAATAATCCAGTTTTGCATTTCAGACCATTATTTTCATAAATTACTCCACCCATATGAATGGTTTACTACACTGTTACTAATAGATAAAACATTTTTCACCAAAAGTATTCCCGTACCATTTTTTGGAGAGGTTTCCTTTTAAGAGAAGAGAAACCTCTCTAAGAAACTCAAAAATAATTGCACCTCATGCTACCACTTTGCATAACTAAAAGTCAGTGTTACTTTCTTTTGACAGTGGAAGAATTTTTTATGACCTTGGGAAGTTTGTTGCAGTGCTGTACTATTCAGCTAGCCAAGCCCTGGGAGAAAATTCTAATTTACTATCCAGACAAACAGTGTATAACATCATTCTTATTTATGTAGGAAAAACATTAAGCAAACCTTTAGAAAAGCTTGTAAGGGTCAGCCTTAATAATACTCCTCACCTTTCAAGTACTTGAGGCTGACATGCTAAAAGCACTGTATATAAGAGTGATAAGATAATACCTGCTTTATAGGTGGATAAAGCAGAATGATAACATACCTAATCCTGAGAACTGCTGAACATCAGCAGTACCATTACAATCATTAGGAAATCTTAGCATTTCTAGGGATTAAGCCTTCAAAAGTCCAAAATTACAAACTTTAAGGACGCAAATAGGCTTTGCCGTACGTGCATTGCTTAAAAGCTACATCTTCAGTGACATGATATCACTCAAGGGCAAAAATCACCCAAGCAGCTTCGAGATCTGAATAGACTAAATATCTTTTGCTCTGTCTTACAGACCACATGAAGTCAGAATAATACAGAATATTTTGTGAGAATACTGAATCCAGAAAATGGCATTTTATTAATATATAGATTTCATGACCTGGACAAATAGTAGGTAAAATGGATTTCCTCATAGTAAAATACTGAGAAGACAACTATGTCTTTTCCTGTGCTGTCATTTTTATGTCATTTCTTCCAGTACATTTGACTTATTTTTCCAAGCTCTTTCTCAATTTAGCTGTATAATTTGAGTGTATGCATTCAGTTCAAACTCTCCAGCCTCAAACCTGATTTTATAAAAGGATGACATTAACGATTGGCTATTTCTATCTTCTTTGGTATATTTAACAAATAATTTAAAGATTCTTTTGATTTTTATAGTTAATATGTAACAGGTTGTGATTGAGCTTTGTTTCAGACAGATCATTAAGCTCATTTGCAGTTTAATTAACTCAAAATGATAATATAACAATATTTTTGCTTGCTTTGAAACAAATCAAAAGAAAAACTTTATTAATAATCTTGGAAATAACAGAGGAAAGATTACCAAGATTGTATTCTACCCTGCTCAGCAAAATGCTGTCACTGGATATCACACTTGGACACCTCTTCCTCTAATAGAATATAAGCAATTAGCCTGAATGATATTTTTGTATTATTTCATATTGTCTCAGCTTGAGCACGTCTAAAACAAAACATCAGAGGCCAGATTTTTTTCCAAGTGTTCAGCACCAAACAATTCCTATTTAGCTATGTAAAAAGGTGACTAGACTTCAAGCAACCTAATCGTAAAAAACCTATCCCTTAGATTTGACAGCACATCTGCTCCTAATTCATACCGATCCTTCTGAAAAATCCATTCCTTAATCCGCTACTCTGAATCAATTAAGTGTTCAATACTCCCTGGATCACCTTGGGAACAGTAAGACCTGTAAAATATTTAAAGATCATAGAAACATAGAATGGTGAGAGTTGGAAGGGACCTTAAAGATCATCAAGTTCTCACCCCTCTGCCCTGGGCAGGGACACCTCCCACCAGACCATGTTGCTCAAAGCCCCATCCAGCCTGGCCTTGAACACTTCCAGGGATGGGGAATCCACAGCTTCTCTGGGCAACCTGTTCTAGTGTCTCACCACCCTCACAGTAAAGAATTTCTTCCTTGTATCTAATATAAATCCCCCCTCTTTCAGTTTAAAACCATTACCCCTTGTCCTATCACTATACCCCCTGATAAAGAGTCCCTCCCCTCTGAAGGGAGGGGAAATCTGGCTATTTCATTCAGATACATAGCTGTGAAGCCAGTGAGATAAATTTATTGAGTTTGTCCCACCATCCCCAGACTATGATGGTAAAAGTTGCCATGATGTGCCAGCTAGTTCAAAAAATATTGAATGTCAGTATAAGGATATCAAATTCAAGGATATCTCAGCTGGGGTTGACTGTCTTCTGCATTCCTATTTCCTCCTTATTTAGGAAGAGCTCTCAGTAGGTTCAGCTGCAGTGAGTTAGTAGAGCAGAAAGGGCAAATAGACTTGCTGGGGGCATAAAACTGCAGAGCTTCTGACACCTGCAGATCAAGGAAATCACAACTTCTAGAGGCAAAGGCTGTGCCAAGCCAAATAATTCCAAGCATAGTGGTACACTCACTCCTAGCATTCTCTGCATTTTAGATATGACTGTATAAACTCCGTGTTTATTTATTTGAAGCTGTCTGGAACATTAGCCTAAAATCTGTTCAAGATGGATGAAAAAGCAGAATGATCAAATCACAGAAGTTGTCATAACGGTCTATTCTAACTTTATAATGTAAAAAGTGTAATAAATCACAGATTTGTAATTGCAAAAGACAAATATCTACAGTGAAATAGAGAGGCTCAGAAAAATATAGTGTATATTATCTAGAAGGTGAACTCTTTTACCTGTTCAGCCACCTTTATATAAAGAATAGACTTCCTAGTATTTAGAAAAATCTGTTATATTTATAGTGGGTCCCTTTCAAAACCACATGAAGGGAATTTGAAAACTATGAAAGGACAAAAATAGAAATTAGATTTGCAAACACAGAAAACAGAAACACAGGTTCATAATATATCAAAATGAAAGATTTACATTCATAAAGCACAGTGCTTAAGTGGAAGAGTCTGATCCAGTGCTCTAAAATAAAACCCCACAGTGGCTAACACAAATAATTGGATCACAAGTTAATTGATTTTACTCTTCTTAAATATCTGTACATCCCCTAAGCACCACTATAAATTAAGAATAAAATAGATGAGTTCAGTACTTTATTTAAACTGCTATCATCTGGACCCATATAAAAAATAATAACTTAGAAGACAAATACCCTGGGTGAGAGTTGCATTTGGCTGGAAGGAGGGATGTTCATTTACTACAACTGAGCATTTGAACATGTCAGGTTATCTTGCTCTGTGGAGTGATACGCCATATTGTCATTTATTGTGTTTACCATGCATAAAGCCTAGAAATTCTAGTCATTCTGCCATATTCAGAATTTTATAAACATAGGGGAAAAAAAAGGACCTGTTTCCTCATTTTCTGCACCCAAAAGCTTCTGAAAAAATACAGAAAGACAGACAACAGACTGATAGCAACTTAGAAGGAAACAATGAGTCAGCAGTGGCCAGCAGACTACTTTTAATAATCAGGTTTTTGTAGACAAATGACACATTTAACAGGGAACTGAAAGATCACAGAAGTATAGTGATGGATGTAGATGAAGAGTTCCTACAAAAGTGTGAGGGTACCTTGTAAGGAATCCCAAATAGACTTGAAAATGTAATGAGTGAGCAATGTTGGCTGTCATGATGCACTGACGGAAGTAGATATTGACCACTGGACATTATTTTGAGAGGTCACTAGCTCCACTTGGCACGGAGGTCCCTAACAGTGAAAACAAGCAGTTTCTATTTCTTACAACAAAAGAGTCCCTTTACTAAGGGATGGCAAGGAGACGTGTAACATTTAAAACAACTGTGTTAGAATACAGCCAATGTAACAGCACCCAGGATACCTCTGAGCAGCAGAGATAGCTCAGCTCAGCTGTCAAACTCTACTCCTTCCCTGGATCTTGGAAACCTGCTCCAAACTACATGCAAAGCTTGAGAAGATAAAATGAAAAATTTCAGGTTTCAGGCTGGCAGGAATTTTATCTTATTGAGTATATGAAATTCAAGATGGCAGTTATCTATTGAGAATAATTAGGCCTGCATTAAAGGCCAGCTAAAGGGGGAAGTCAAGTGGAGAAACAAACAAATTGAACCGCAGCTTAATTGCAGTAGCTGTTTCCTGGTGGAGCCAAGATGTAATATAACACTGAGCCACATCCTCCTTCACACTGAGCTCTGCAGCAAACTGGTGGGACGAAGCCTCGTCCCTTACTTCCCTGGTATTTGCATCTGTGTTCTCTAACTGAGGACAAAACATGGCTCTTGAATTCCATTTGTACCCTCAGTCACAATGTGAAGTCTCACTATGAATTATGATGCTCAATGCAAACCCAGCTGTTATTTAAGCACAATGACAATATATTTAGCAACAGGCAGGTCCTTATGACTAAAGAAGTGAGGCTACTGTGACAGAAGAAGGGTTTGTAAATATTGTTTGGACAAGAGCTGGAAGCCAACTATATATTATTGAGTAATTTATCCTTGCTGTGCCTTCTCTTATGCAGTAAATCCAGTGGGTGGACCTTGCAGTAATAACACAGTACAACAGCAAATTGTTCTTACCTTGACAACAGAGAGCATTCCCTCGTTAGTCTGGGGATTGGTGTGGATTTCAAAACTCTGCCCTGGATTTCCATTAATAATGGTGTAGACAGCTCTCCATGCTCCGGTTGCTGGGTCATCTCGGTCACCAACGGTTAAGTTTACTATTACACCTGTGACTCCCTCCTTTACTGTGGCTTGAAACTAGAAAAAAAAACAACAAAAACATAGTGGAAATTGTTACCATTTCCAATTAATGACCACACACACACACACATATGAAATATCCAAGCCCGCATTAATTATTTACCACAACAGGAGAAAGATGTAATCCTTGACTGAAACTGAATGTTATAGGCTCTAAATAATGTATTCTCACTCATGAAATATAAGGTAGCACATTACAGCTGCTCTCCATTTAGTAGATGGCAGACAAGCAGCAATGTGATAGGAATCAAGCTTTGGAAGATTCTCATCACACGATGACAGTTCATCTCATGTTACTGGAAAAGTGAATCCTGAAAACGTACACAGTGTAGCACGGGCACACATGCTCTCAGAAAGGAAACTATACTCATTGTTAGCAGAAGAGGAAGCTGACTAATATAGCCCATTCTTGCCTTCGAATGTACTATTATTTACAAATAATCCAGTTTTGCATTTCAGACCATTATTTTCATAAATTACTCCACCCATATGAATGGTTTACTACACTGTTACTAATAGATAAAACATTTTTCACCAAAAGTATTCCCGTACCATTTTTTGGAGAGGTTTCCTTTTAAGAGAAGAGAAACCTCTCTAAGAAACTCAAAAATAATTGCACCTCATGCTACCACTTTGCATAACTAAAAGTCAGTGTTACTTTCTTTTGACAGTGGAAGAATTTTTTATGACCTTGGGAAGTTTGTTGCAGCGCTGTACTATTCAGCTAGCCAAGCCCTGGGAGAAAATTCTAATTTACTATCCAGACAAACAGTGTATAACATCATTCTTATTTATGTAGGAAAAACATTAAGCAAACCTTTAGAAAAGCTTGTAAGGGTCAGCCTTAATAATACTCCTCACCTTTCAAGTACTTGAGGCTGACATGCTAAAAGCACTGTATATAAGAGTGATAAGATAATACCTGCTTTATAGGTGGATAAAGCAGAATGATAACATACCTAATCCTGAGAACTGCTGAACATCAGCAGTACCATTACAATCATTAGGAAATCTTAGCATTTCTAGGGATTAAGCCTTCAAAAGTCCAAAATTACAAACTTTAAGGACGCAAATAGGCTTTGCCGTACGTGCATTGCTTAAAAGCTACATCTTCAGTGACATGATATCACTCAAGGGCAAAAATCACCCAAGCAGCTTCGAGATCTGAATAGACTAAATATCTTTTGCTCTGTCTTACAGACCACATGAAGTCAGAATAATACAGAATATTTTGTGAGAATACTGAATCCAGAAAATGGCATTTTATTAATATATAGATTTCATGACCTGGACAAATAGTAGGTAAAATGGATTTCCTCATAGTAAAATACTGAGAAGACAACTATGTCTTTTCCTGTGCTGTCATTTTTATGTCATTTCTTCCAGTACATTTGACTTATTTTTCCAAGCTCTTTCTCAATTTAGCTGTATAATTTGAGTGTATGCATTCAGTTCAAACTCTCCAGCCTCAAACCTGATTTTATAAAAGGATGACATTAACGATTGGCTATTTCTATCTTCTTTGGTATATTTAACAAATAATTTAAAGATTCTTTTGATTTTTATAGTTAATATGTAACAGGTTGTGATTGAGCTTTGTTTCAGACAGATCATTAAGCTCATTTGCAGTTTAATTAACTCAAAATGATAATATAACAATATTTTTGCTTGCTTTGAAACAAATCAAAAGAAAAACTTTATTAATAATCTTGGAAATAACAGAGGAAAGATTACCAAGATTGTATTCTACCCTGCTCAGCAAAATGCTGTCACTGGATATCACACTTGGACACCTCTTCCTCTAATAGAATATAAGCAATTAGCCTGAATGATATTTTTGTATTATTTCATATTGTCTCAGCTTGAGCACGTCTAAAACAAAACATCAGAGGCCAGATTTTTTTCCAAGTGTTCAGCACCAAACAATTCCTATTTAGCTATGTAAAAAGGTGACTAGACTTCAAGCAACCTAATCGTAAAAAACCTATCCCTTAGATTTGACAGCACATCTGCTCCTAATTCATACTGATCCTTCTGAAAAATCCATTCCTTAATCCGCTACTCTGAATCAATTAAGTGTTCAATACTCCCTGGATCACCTTGGGAACAGTAAGACCTGTAAAATATTTAAAGATCATAGAAACATAGAATGGTGAGAGTTGGAAGGGACCTTAAAGATCATCAAGTTCTCACCCCTCTGCCCTGGGCAGGGACACCTCCCACCAGACCATGTTGCTCAAAGCCCCATCCAGCCTGGCCTTGAACACTTCCAGGGATGGGGAATCCACAGCTTCTCTGGGCAACCTGTTCTAGTGTCTCACCACCCTCACAGTAAAGAATTTCTTCCTTGTATCTAATATAAATCCCCCCTCTTTCAGTTTAAAACCATTACCCCTTGTCCTATCACTATACCCCCTGATAAAGAGTCCCTCCCCTCTGAAGGGAGGGGAAATCTGGCTATTTCATTCAGATACATAGCTGTGAAGCCAGTGAGATAAATTTATTGAGTTTGTCCCACCATCCCCAGACTATGATGGTAAAAGTTGCCATGATGTGCCAGCTAGTTCAAAAAATATTGAATGTCAGTATAAGGATATCAAATTCAAGGATATCTCAGCTGGGGTTGACTGTCTTCTGCATTCCTATTTCCTCCTTATTTAGGAAGAGCTCTCAGTAGGTTCAGCTGCAGTGAGTTAGTAGAGCAGAAAGGGCAAATAGACTTGCTGGGGGCATAAAACTGCAGAGCTTCTGACACCTGCAGATCAAGGAAATCACAACTTCTAGAGGCAAAGGCTGTGCCAAGCCAAATAATTCCAAGCATAGTGGTACACTCACTCCTAGCATTCTCTGCATTTCAGATATGACTGTATAAACTCCGTGTTTATTTATTTGAAGCTGTCTGGAACATTAGCCTAAAATCTGTTCAAGATGGATGAAAAAGCAGAATGATCAAATCACAGAAGTTGTCATAACGGTCTATTCTAACTTTATAATGTAAAAAGTGTAATAAATCACAGATTTGTAATTGCAAAAGACAAATATCTACAGTGAAATAGAGAGGCTCAGAAAAATATAGTGTATATTATCTAGAAGGTGAACTCTTTTACCTGTTCAGCCACCTTTATATAAAGAATAGACTTCCTAGTATTTAGAAAAATCTGTTATATTTATAGTGGGTCCCTTTCAAAACCACATGAAGGGAATTTGAAAACTATGAAAGGACAAAAATAGAAATTAGATTTGCAAACACAGAAAACAGAAACACAGGTTCATAATATATCAAAATGAAAGATTTACATTCATAAAGCACAGTGCTTAAGTGGAAGAGTCTGATCCAGTGCTCTAAAATAAAACCCCACAGTGGCTAACACAAATAATTGGATCACAAGTTAATTGATTTTACTCTTCTTAAATATCTGTACATCCCCTAAGCACCACTATAAATTAAGAATAAAATAGATGAGTTCAGTACTTTATTTAAACTGCTATCATCTGGACCCATATAAAAAATAATAACTTAGAAGACAAATACCCTGGGTGAGAGTTGCATTTGGCTGGAAGGAGGGATGTTCATTTACTACAACTGAGCATTTGAACATGTCAGGTTATCTTGCTCTGTGGAGTGATACGCCATATTGTCATTTATTGTGTTTACCATGCATAAAGCCTAGAAATTCTAGTCATTCTGCCATATTCAGAATTTTATAAACATAGGGGAAAAAAAAGGACCTGTTTCCTCATTTTCTGCACCCAAAAGCTTCTGAAAAAATACAGAAAGACAGACAACAGACTGATAGCAACTTAGAAGGAAACAATGAGTCAGCAGTGGCCAGCAGACTACTTTTAATAATCAGGTTTTTGTAGACAAATGACACATTTAACAGGGAACTGAAAGATCACAGAAGTATAGTGATGGATGTAGATGAAGAGTTCCTACAAAAGTGTGAGGGTACCTTGTAAGGAATCCCAAATAGACTTGAAAATGTAATGAGTGAGCAATGTTGGCTGTCATGATGCACTGACGGAAGTAGATATTGACCACTGGACCTTATTTTGAGAGATCACTAGTTCCACTTGGCACAGAGGTCCCTGACAGTGAAAACAAGCAGTTTCTATTTCTTACAACAAAAGAGTCCCTTTACTAAGGGATGGCAAGGAGACGTGTAACATTTAAAACAACTGTGTTAGAATACAGCCAATGTAACAGCACCCAGGATACCTACCTGCAGCAGAGATAGCTCAGCTCAGCTCAGCTGTCAAACTCTACTCCTTCCCTGGATCTTGGAAACCTGCTCCAAACTACATGCAAAGCTTGAGAAGATAAAATGAAAAATTATGGTTTCAGGCGGGCAGGAATTTTATCTTATTGAGTATATGAAATTCAAGATGGCAGTTATCTATTGAGAATAATTAGGCCTGCATTAAAGGCCAGCTAAAGGGGGAACTCAAGTGGAGAAACAAACAAATTGAACCGCAGCTTAATTGCAGTAGCTGTTTCCTGGTGGAGCCAAGATGTAATATAACACTGAGCCACATCCTCCTTCACACTGAGCTCTGCAGCGAACTGGTGGGACCCTATAGGGCCAGCCCTCACTGAACAGCAGAATGGTTCACTAGGCTCTCAGGAAAAAACAGTCTTGTCAGATTTCTGCCATGGGGCAGATACATGAAAAGACCGCTTTGTAAAATGTTATCACCTGAGAATCCAGACATTAACCTGATCTCAGCCTCAAACAAAACTGGAAATGGTACCTAACCTCTGTGAAAACTGGATTCTTATCTGACAGCCCAATTTAAAGCTTCTGTAGTAAGTGAGGTTTTATTTACTGGCTTCTCAGAGCACAGAGGAACAAATGAATTTAACTGCATCAGAATCACCTGAATGTCTACTGTCCAGCAACAGCACGAGCATGCAGTAATAATCTTAATACCTTTATGAAGCCACCAAATAACTGTCTCAGACTGGGGTACCCAAATTAAAGAGCTGCCATGAGCAG